GAGCAGGACTTGAGGGTTCTAAGGATAAGAACTAGTGGACCAGGACACGAAGAGATGATAGGTTTAAAATTCTAGTTTACAACTATGAGATCTAATTTAAAACCCTAACCTCCATCCACCTTGGACCACTGGTGGGTAGCCACCCAAAGCAATTAAGATGTGAGCAACAGCTTCAAGAGATATACGTGTTTCAAAGTGTTTGCTGTTTTATGAATTGTGAAATCAAGACACCAAAATTCATATGATACTTTAGAGTTTATATTACAAAGAATTTTCAGGCTACACAAGGTGGCTCATGTAACCCCATGTAATCCCTGTAATGCATGTAATCCCATGTTGGGAGGCCAAGGCAGGAGGATCGTTTAAGGCCAGGAATTCAAGACGAGCAACACAGTGAGACTATGTCTCTACAGAAAAATTTAAAAATTAGGCAGGGGTAGTGGTGTACACCTGTAGCTTGAGCTACTTGGGAGGCTGAGGCAGGAGAATCCCAGGGGCCTGTGTTGTCCAGGCTCGTCTCAAACTCCTGGCTACAGGCCAGGCACAGTGGCTGACGCCTGTAATCCAGCACTTTGGGAAGCCGAGGTGGGCAAATCACCTGAGGTCAGGAGTTCAAGACCACCCTGACCAACATGGTGAAACCCCATCTCTACTAAAAATACAAAAATTAGGTGCGGTTGTGCATGCCTGTAATCCCCGCTACCGGGAAGGCTGAGGCAGGAGAATCACTTGAACCTGGAGGCAGAGGTTGCAGTGAGCACAGATCGTGCCACTGCACTCCAGCCTGGGTGACAGAGTGAGACTCTGCCTCAAAAAACAACAATAACAACAACAACAACAAAACTCCTGGCTACAAGGGATCCTCCCACCTCAGTCTCCCAAAGTGCTGGAATTACAGGTGCCAGCCACTGTGCCTGGCCATTGTCTCTCTCTCTTTTTTTGAGACAAGGTCTTGCTCTTGTCATCCAAACTGGAATGCAGTGAAGCAATCATGGCTCAGTGAAGCCTCAACCTCTCAGGCTCAAGTGGTCCCCCCACCTCAGCCACCCAAATAGCTGGGACCAAAAGTGTGCACCATCACACCCAGTTAATTTTTAAATTTTATGTAAAGATGGGGTCTTGGTACGTTGTCCAGGCTGGCCTCAAACTCCTGAGCTCAAGCCATCCACCAGCCTTGGCCTCCCAAAGTGCTGGGATTACAGGTGTGAGCCACTATACCTGGTCGACATTATCTCTTTAAAAAATTTTTAGCCAGGCGCAGTGGCTCATGCCTGTAATCCCAGCACTTTGGGAGGCCAAGGCGGGCAGACCACAAGGTCAAGAGATCAAGACCATCCTGGCTAACACGGTGAAACCCTGTCTCTACTAAAAATACAAAAAAATCTAGCCGGGTGTGGTGGCAGGCACCTGTAGTCCCAGCTACTCAGGAAGCTGAGGCAGGAGAATTGCTTGAACCCGAGAGGTGGCAGTTGCAGCAAGCTGAGATCGCACCATTGGACTCCAGCCTGGGTGACAGAGTGAGACTTTGTCTCAAAAAAAAAAAAAAAAAATTTTTGGCCAAGCATGGTGGCTCACACCTGTAATCCCAGCAGTTTGGGAGGCTGAGGCGGGCGGATCACCTGAGGTCTGGAGTTCAAGACCAGCCTGACCAACATGGAGAAACCCCATCTTTACTAAAAATACAAAATTAGCTATGCGTGGTGGTGCATGCCCGTAATCCCAGCTATTCGGGAGGCTGAGGCAGGAGAATCACTTGAACCTGGGAGGTGGAGGTTGCGGTGAGCAGAGATTGCACCACTGCACTCCAGCCTGGGCAATAAGAGTGAAACTCTATCTCAAAAAAAAAAAATAAAAAAATTTTTTTTCACATATACACTGATTGGATCCTCATAATAATACCAGAAGAGAAAATGGGCATCACACATTATACACAGAACTACCCCACTGTCACTTAACCCCAATAAAACTCTTAGAATAATCTCATTCCTCCCTTTGTTCCTATTTTTGTGACAAGAAGTCCAGGACTACTGGGATATCCCTCATGTTTAGCCTCCTATTCTGCAACATTTTACATGTTACCGTACCACAGTGGCCTTCCTAGACCACTGTGTATAAAACCACCCCTCTAGTTTCCTTTCCTGCTTTATTTTTCTGTAAAACATGATCACTATAAAACATTGTATACTACATATTTCACTGTTTATATTTCTTTTTATAATTTATGTTTTATATATTATATATATGTTTTCTAGAATATCATCTGAACTTCCCCATGAAAACATAAGCTCCATGAGGGCAGGGATTTTAGTCTTTTGTAATTGCTATATTCCTAGCAATTGAGGTCAGGAATTGTCTGACAGTTAGGAGGCACTTAACAAATACTTGTTAAATGAATGTCTGGCTTGATACCAGTGAGAAGCAGAGAGCATATGACTCACCCAAAGTCTCCTTTGGCAACTACAGGTAAAACCCTCTCATTTATCATGTAAAGAAAATGGGAGCATGGGATTGGAAAGATAATCCCTTGAAAAGACAGAGGCTCTTATCACTCTGGGCTAGGGGACGTCTGTGTGTCTGGAAGGAGTTGGGAGATTGAAACAGTCTTATTCAACCCCATTCAATCCCAGTCTCACTCTGACCCAGAAGTCCTAGTGTACTTTTTTTCCCCATTCACTTACTAATCCACAGGCCAGAGCTTGCTCAGGTAACAGGAAAGCAGCAAAGTCTTTCAACAGCTGAGGCCAGTCTTGGAGCAGAATTTGCAGGCTTTTGTAGAGATCTACAGCTGTCTGTCTCTGGGTACTTGACTCAAATTCATAGATGACTTGAAGGAAGTCTTCATACTTGCCAGGGATATGTTGTAGGGCTTCTCGTACCTACACGGGAAGACTTTCAATCATCAACACCCTTTATTTGGGCCACAACAAGCAATAAGGGTACAAGGGAGAAGGCAGGGTTATGGTTAGAGAGCTCCAAGAATTATCCATCAGAGGCTGCGCCTCCAACAGATCTTAACATCTGACTGTTAATGGAAGACACAGAGCAACAGGCAAGGTAAAGATCTTTTTCTGGGAGTGAGCAAGTAAAAAAACATTTTCCAAGTTCCACAGCTCTACCCACAAAACCAAGTAATGCTTTTCTCTGGGTTGCAGCCCTAGCCTTTCCTTACTGATTACATCCTCATAATGAAATAGGTAACATGTGTTTGTACATGTATTTCAGCATGGGCGTAATCTGAGAGTAAATAATACCTAAGTTACGAATATCAGTAAAATATTAAGAGATAAGAAAAAGCTATGACTATCATTGCCAGTATTCTGCTTTCCAGGGGGATAAAGGAACCAGGTGGTTACCAACAGAAGGATATAGTTCTCCAGGACACTACCAAGAAGAGGTTGGCTTACGTCTTTTTTTTTTGAGACAGGGTCTCATTCTGTTGCCCAGGCTGGAGTGCACTTGATGCAATTATGGCTCACTGCAGCCTCAACCACCTGGGCCCAAGTCATCCTTCCACCTCAGCCTCCCAAAGTAGTGAGGACTACAGGCATGTATCACCATGCTTAGTTGATTTTTTAATTTTTGTAGAGTTGGAGGTCTCCTATGTTGCCCAGGCTTGTCTTGAACTCCTGGACTCAAGGAATCCTCCTACCGTAGCCTCCCAAAGTGCTGGGATTATATGCAAGGGCCACAACGCCCAGCCTGGTTCATGTCTTTTCTTTTTTTTTTTTTTGAGACACAGTCTCACCCTGTCACCAAGGCTGGAGTGCAGTGGTGCAATCTCGGCTCACTGCAACCTCCATCTCCCGGGTTCAAATGATTCTTGTGCCTCAGCCTCCCCCGTAGCTAGGATTACAGGCGCCTGCCACCACGCCCGGCTAATTTTTGTATTTTTTAGTAGAGACAGGGTTTTCACCATGTTGGCCAGGCTGGTCTCGAACTCCTGATCTCAGGTGATCCACCTGCCTCGGCCCCCCAAAGTGCTGGGATTATAGATGTGAACCACCATGCCCAGCTGGTTCATGTCTTAAGAGCAATGTATTTCTCTGAAATCCACTTGCTGGCCAGTGTACCCACTGTCTTTCTTCTCAAGCCAAAGGTTCTATAAAGGTCCTTATCAGCCCACCTAATAAAGTCACAACCTCCCACTGATGATGGTGGTATCATTTTTCTGCCAATCTCTAGTAAACAGAAGGATGATGGCAGGGTATTAACAATAAACATACTTATGATTGAATTCTACGTCTCTTTGTGGTTCTGTCACAGAGATCTTTTGCCAGAAAAGCCAACATAGAGGAAATATGATGCCTGTTGTATAGCCTGAAAAACAGACGTCATTTTTAAAAACATCTCCCTTGAAGCAGCAGCCACATTCACAGAGACTGGCAGTAACAGGAAGCAGCATTTGCCTACCCTGGTCAGATAAGCTTGGGCAAAGGCCAAGTCCTTCTGCTCCCTGAGGGGATCTCGTTCGAGAATGTCCTCATCATACAGCAACAGCAGCTTGGAGGTGTCCTTGCTGGCCCGAGCTCGACTTCCCCGCTTGTTGCGAGCTCGATGATTGTTCCGGCCCTTTCCAGCAGCTTTGATGCTCTCTCCTTGTAGCACACATGAAAAAGATTGTTTCTCTGTCCCTAAACCCCTGCTCTTCCCATTCCACCACATGCACCACCCCAGCCAAATCCTATTCAATATTATGGAGCAACTCAAGGAAAAGGTTGTTGGGAAAACGGTATGAGAAGTAAGTCTGTCAAGTCAGCTCTATGCAGAGTCTGCAGTGTAACTGCCTTAATTGGGATGACAAGATAATCAGCTACTTCATATTGAGAAAGGAAGTCTAAAGAGCAAGTGTGGCTTCTGTAGTGCTCTTGAGAGACTATGTCTGGATGAGGAACAAGCAGTGTTTCCTGAAATAAACATGGGTCTTAGCCCCACACATGATAGATAAGGTAACAATCAGTTTAGTGAAGTGAACGGTCAGGTGCAGTGGCTCACGCCTGTAATCCCAGCACTTTGGGAGGCCGAGGCAGGCGGATTATAAGGTTAGGAGTTCAAGACCAGCCTGACTGACATGGTAAAACCCTGTCTCCACTAAAAATACAAAAATTGGCTGGGTGTAGGGGTGGATGCCTGCAATCCCAGCTACTCAGGAGGCTGAGGCAGGAGTTTCGCTTGAACCTGGGAGGCGGAGCTTGCAGTGAGCCGAGATCACGCCATTGCACTCCAGCCTGGGCGACACAGCAAGACACCATCTCAAAAAAAAAAAAAAAAAGAAAGTGAAGGAAGCTAATATAAATCTAACAATGGATAGGAATCAAATTAAAAATTTCTGAGTATCTGTTCTCCACAAAGACACCACATTAAACGTGTTTTGGGAGTGGGGGATTGCAGAACAGATCCAGAGGGTTTCCTCTGGAAATCCTCCACCTGGTTTATAAGCTATCCACTCTGCATGCTGTCCTCTAGACAACGAGGTTAAGTGAGACTGGTCCTTCAGTATAGGCTTGCCTAACTCACCTGGTGGAGTTCTGCTGGTCTCCACTTCTGGAGCAGTCTCAGATGAGGCAAAAGTAGAAGGAGGCTTCTCAGCTGAGTCTCCAACTGCTTCATCCGTCATTTCATCCTCTTTCTGCAGGCTTTCCATTCCTTCTGCTTCTTCTTCCTCCTCTTCT